TTTTTTGTGTACTGTAACGACCCGACTATATTAAATAAAATAAAGTTTTTTCAAGTTGAAGACTGCATTAATCGTGACGTTATTATTTTCGATTATTCCGACATTGCAACAAGAATGTAGCTTTAATAGAAGCAACTTGTGGTCAATTGTATCGAATGCCCTTGAGAAATCAAAAACTATTAACGAGGTCAGAAATTCGGAATTGAAACTATGCAACACAGTATCAGATAAATGAAGTAACTCTGTAGTGATACTGTGAGAGCTCCTGAATGATTGACATTCTGGAACAGCATTATATTTTCTAAAGAAGTCGTTCAATTGATTAAAGCAAATGTACTCAAGTAATTTAGATAGGAAAGGAGGGATTACTGTTTTTAGAGATTGGAATTATTACTGATTGCTTCCATGTGGATGGAAAAGTACTAGTAGACAAAGAATAGTTGAGGATATAAAGGAGAGGATCGAGGAATTGTGGAAGGCAGGATAGAATCATACGACTTGATAAGTCGAAGGGACCAGCAAAAGTGAGTTTTATACTCTTGAGTATGTTGTATAGTTGTATAGCAGATATAGGTGATAAAGAAAAAGTTTCAGTATCATTAAGGAAAGTTGAAAGGAAAGTTGAGAGAGAGACTTACGGGCACGAGGGGAAAAGAGTCAATAAAATAATTATTGAGGAGAGATGGATCAAGCAGATGATTAAGGACAGAAGGATTAGGCCTACTGTGCCAAGAAGAGAAAGATTCTTCCAAAATTATCGAGAATTCGAAGGAAAAGATGAGGACAGGAAGGCCTTCTTTTCATGACGAATAGTAGCATTTCGAAGCTGTCTATAAAGATACTAATTGTCATCAGACCGAGTATGCCTAAATTTATACAGAGTGCGAGCCTTTAAGGATATAAGTTTTCTCACCGTGGAATTGATCCACGGGGCAGGAGGCCGAGTCGACCGTCCGAACGAAATCGGTGCAGTCATATATAGATCGCAAAGATGACTCGAAGTAAGAGATCATCTTATTAACGCACATAGAATTATAGAGGCGTCCAGTCAATCCGAGTTCAGCCTCGATCGTCCCCAGAACAACTAATTTAGTATCACAATAAAGAAATTTCTTTGACCGATGCGAAACACCGCATCGCAGCGTAAATGGCATAATGGTCGCTAATGTAGAATGTATCGTTAGCACTGGATTCCACCACCTCGACACAAAACGAAATCAACATCAAATCGAGAAGTGATTCAGAGGTAGATGTTATGCGAATCAGCGAATTAATAACTTGCTTAAGAGAGAAGAGAGACATGATCGATCTCAGATGTGCGACATAACGATCATATGGCGCAAGTATTATATATTAACATTAAAATCCCCCACGCAAACAATATCAGCTCGACAATATCGGACAAGCAGGACTCGAGATAGTTAGGTCAGCAGAAGGCGATTGAGGAGGACGATAGGCGCATAATACTGCAATTTTTCTGCAATTAATATGCAGGAGAACGCCCACGAGCTCGACGAGAGAGCCCGCAGGGAGAAATGTAAAACTGAGGCTGTAAAAAGTAAGTGTGATAAACAGAGCGACCCCCCCCCCCCCTCTGTGCGACGATCTGATCGAACAAGAGTAAAACCCAAGATAGACACACAGGCTGAATCGATGTCCTCACGCAACTACGTCTTACCTACGGTAAGAATGCCGGTAATTGATAAGATTTTTAATTTGAGTGAAATGTGAAACGAGCATTAACGAGATTACACAAAGAGTTTGCCGGAACAGATTGCCACCGCCTTCACGATCGCCAACCGCCGAACACAACCGAAAATCAGGTACGCATAGAGTCAATCAACCTAAGCGGACATCAACCGAGAGAGTCGCCAAAGAAGGAGCGAGACTAGTCGACGGATCGCAAGCAACTCCCATCTCACAAAGGAATGAGTCCGATGACGAACGTATCGACGGCGAGTCATCGGACAAGCAAAAATAAGTAATTTCTCGACGCATTTAAACGTAATGAACGCCATGATCCCTCGCCAACTGCCTAGCCTCTCTAAATGCCCTCCTCTCCGCTACTGAGGAGTGCTCGCGAAGAGATTCCGCACTCCCAGGCCATGACTGATGAATATCGGACGCAACACAGTTCCTTCGACGTCTAGTCGGAGAAGTCTGAGCGCGAAAAGCTCGTTTCTTCTAGCAATGGTCATGAACCTCACAATAAGTGGCCTACCACCAGAAGCATTCTGAGTTGGGATTCAAAAAGAAGCGATGACCTTCCCGGGCGACAGCATTACCCCCAAGAAACACGCCACACAGGTCAGTGGATACCAACTCAATATTAGGCAGTTCGAAGACAACCATCTCATGATCCTTGCGCTCGCTCACCATTCTCTCTAAACGAACAGATCTCGGCATGACCGAACCATCGCAGGAAGAGAGCACCGCTCCGAAGGTAATGGAGCCCGTCACACCAGGCAACCGGCCCTCCAGGGAGAGCCGCTTGGCCATCAGCACATCAGCATTGGAAGAGAGAGATGGTGAAGTACAGGCTCCATCCGCTCTACGCCATCAACTCGTCATATCGACGACTTGAGCGAGACCAATCCAGCATTCAATGAACTTACGCTCCAATACGATCAGCGATATCGATCCATTCTCAAGATAAGCAATCCGATCGTCGAGGGATGGTATAGTTGCAGAAAGCGTTGCCAGCGCAGCCCTGAGCTCAGAGAGTGAAGCGAAAAAGTCGGGCAATTCCAAGGAGTCCATCCGTCTGGAAGAGTCTCGAAGTTCGAGACACTTCCAAAGATTGACAAGGAAGAGTAACATCTTGGAAAGGAACACCGTCGATCATCCGAGAAGCAGACGCAGGTTCAAGCCCGGCATCCGTGCAATCAAAAACAAGCCGATTATTATCCGCTTTATAACACGTAGATGCACGTTGCACGCGAGAGACACTTACAACACGTAGGTTAACTCATATTTGTATATAATCAGTGATAAATACCATAATTACGACAAGGAAATATACTAGGACAATCCAATGTATAGAGTGAAAAGACGAGAGTAAAATAACAAAGAACACACTGTTTTGAAATATTACTTACAGTTAAATATGACAATTATTGGAAAAAAAACTGTGCAAACAGAATAAATGACGCGTATAAGTACAGACGCTGAAATGAAGTAGAATAAAAAAATCATATGAACTAACAGACAAGATAAAATACATAAATATAACCGAATAATACAGGAAGTACAGAACAATGCTCTCCGACCATCTTCTACGCCGACACACCGCGATAATGAAGTTGAACACAGCAAGTTAAACAGAATATGCACCAATTACAATGCAGATCTCAGCAGTAATGTTAACCAATAATACAAAGAATCAAAACAATTCATACGCGATTCACACGCTATTCGAAAATTGCAAATCGATTCCAAAACCGCAAGAGCGACAGACAGAAATGTTTACAGTACGATGGTCCGCGACTGACTGAAAAATAAAGATTTGACAAGAAAAAAGTCACTCTGAATCACTCTCTTCATGAATCGAAATATTTTAAATTAAAGTTGATGATTATTTAGGTTAAGAAATCTATCACAGCAGTGGTTCTTTGCTAAAGTAATGAATTTGTGTTTTTAAAGTAGTTATTCAATGCTTTAAAAATATAAATTCACTGCTTTAAGAACACAAATTCTTCACATTAAAAACAAATTTTCTATTAAAACAGTGAATTTGTATTTTTAAAGCAGTAAGTTTATGTTTTTAAAGTAGTAAATTTGTGTTTTTAAAGCAAAGAATTTGTGTAATTTTGAAGTAGAAAATATTTATAGCCTTACATATTTTTATGTCTATCTTTATATGTCATCGATGTATATAAATACAAGGTGTCCCATTTTAATTTCCCAAATATCTAAAAAAATATGAAAGATATAGAAAAATGTTTCAGACAAACTTTCGTATCTTTTTGGCGCCTCCTAGAAAAAAGACATGATCAAAATGTGGCCCCCTCTAAATCATGCAATTTTTTTCTGAAAAATTTTTCTATAACTTTCATATTTTTCGAAATAGTTGCCTGAAGAAATTAAAATGAAATATTTTTTTCCACGCTAATAAGTCGAAAAAAAAGCATTTTTCTAAAAAGGGGGGGGGGGGGGGGGGGAGAGGAGGAAGTTAGTGATCTTAAATTTGATCTTGAAGGCATATTTCAAGGTCCTTTGTAGGTGAACTTTGAAATATGGAACCTCCCCTTTTTCATTGCATATTCTTGTAACGCACCTCGAGAGCTTTCCAAAATACAATATAATAAAACATTTATTCATAAAGTACTTTTCGAGTTATAAGGTTTGCAAGTTACAGCACCGCCAACATTAGCATTGCCCAAGATGTCCGACCGATGGCTACAATCTCTTGAATGTTGTTCAAGATCATATCCTTGATAACATTTGTCAAGATCAAGACCAAGATTATTGCTCTTATTTTCATTTTTACATTAAAAATTTATTTTTTACGCTAAAATGAAAATAAAAGGCACAATCTCCAATGACTTTAATTTTGACAAATGATATTCAGGACATGAACCTGAACAACATTCAAAAGGTTTTAGCTGTCGGTCGGATACCTTGGATAATACTACTAATGTTGACAATACTTTAACTTTCAAATATCGTAATTCAAACAGTACTTAATGAAAAAACATTTTCTTATAGCGTTTTAAGAAGTTCTCGACATCAGCTATTAGATTCTGCAAATAAAAGTAAGGTGTTTTAAAAAAATCGATGTAATCTTGACCTAATGTTGGCGACACCACACAAGATCAAACTGATAAGATCAGTAAATAGACCTTTTTGAATCCTACAACTTTTGTTTAAACAATTTTTTTCAATAATGCCATTTCATGATAAAAATGTGTAACATTTTATTTTGAACATTATGTATACTACTGTATATTACTGTGATCACAAAAAGTACCGGAATTGATTTAATAAAACACAAATTATGATTGTATTTATCTAAATTTATTTTGTCCCTTTTAATATAATCCTCTCCCACTGAAGTACATCTTTGCCAATGTTTTTTTCCAAACCTTGAAGCATCTTTTATAGTCGATTTCAGATGTAGCTTGAAGTGCAGAGCAGTGCCGTAGCAAGAAGAGTGCAGGGAGTATGTTTCGCTCCGCGCGCCGTCTTGACAAGGGTGCGAATCAGTATTTAGAACTGGTGGCAGCAAGCGATCAACAGGCTGCTCGCCAAGCCACTGACTGGTGGCGCTGATCGCGTGTTGCTCATCGACTAACAACAGAGAGATAGTATTACATTTGTCGTTTCATCGTTTATCGTTCATTCATCCTTCATTAAAACAATTTCATCCTTCATTAAAACAATTTTATTAATTCTAATTTGCTTTTAATTTGTTATAATTCATTTAAAACTTAGACTTTGTTGTTTAGTTTTAAAAATATTGTATGTAAAAAAGAAAAACAAAGGCAAAATGAAAATACTGTATATACGAGTGTTTCAGACCACCGTACATCCTTTCGCAGGATAAGGTTCAATCGTAAAAGTATTCAGACAAAAGTTGTAAGGTTTAAAAAGATTTAGTGATCTTATCAATTTGACCTTAGATGGTCATCAGGATCAGATCAAGATTACATCGATTTTTTTTAATGGACACACAATTTTTTATTCTAGTATCTAATAGCTGATGTCGAAAGCTTTCCAAAACATTATAATAAAGTTATTTTTCGTTGATACTTTTTGAATTATACGTTATATACCGAAAGTTACAGTACCGCCGACATTAGTATTACGCAAAGTGTCCGATTGACGATTAAAACCTCTTGAATGTTGTGCAAAGATTATATCCTGGATTTGTCAAGATCAAGACCATTGAAGATTATTCTTCTTAAATGTAAAAAACGAATGTGATTATAATTTCAAAAATATGAAAAGAAAGAGCATAAAGAATCACAAGATATAGTTAGTGATATTTAATTATTCTTGCATTACGAATTACAATAAAAACATTAAACGTTTCGGTCACAATCTGGCCATCTTTAGTAAAATTAATAATATTCTTAAGACGCAGAGTTACATTAAGTTGGAATAAAATTCAACCATCGTGTGTTATAATTGTAAAAATCGTGTTTGCATCAATGCGACGCTGCTTCATATCATAATGTTAGAACGTCAGAAGTCATATAGTGAAAAGTGTAGAACGAGAATTTCCAGATTCTAATTTACAATAATTTATTTTATTATTAATATCTTTTAAAACGGAGTATAAAACAAAAGAAACATTACCTGTTTTACAGCAAAATAAATCGATGAATTACAAGTATAATCATTGCACAGATAGAAATTTGTCGTGACACTATGCGTTGTTATTGATTGTATCACATATTTTTCCGCTATTTATATCCATAAGTCAAATAGTTTAGTTAGAAAGTTCTAGAATTATTTATTAAGTACGAGAGAGATTTTTCTTTAGAAGAGGAAGATAAACATCAGGCAAACCTTCAGTATCACTTTGTTTATTGATCCCACTTATTTGGTTTTTAATGTGTATCATTTCTGAAATTCTTCGTTTCATCAATGATTATTCTGTATCTAAAATTTCAATGTTATCCCAATCAAATTCATGCATTTCATTCACACAGTGACGTGAAACAACTGATATCTCAGAAGTAGATTTCTTAATATCAGTCTTGTGTTCTTTAATACGAGTTTTTAATTTTCTCTTAGTTTGGCCAACATATGACGATTCGCAATTCAAACAATTAATTTTATAAACTACCCCACAATGATCATCCTTAAGCAAGGGATCTTTTCCTGTTTTTATAATCGTATTTAATTTATTCATCGGTTTATAAGCTATATTAAAACCATGAATATCTGCAAGTTTTTTGAATTTTTCAGAAACCTTGCTTAAGTATGGTATCGCGAAAAATTTTCTCTTGTTGGAATCATATTCATTATTATTTACTTCGCGATTTTTTTCTGGATTAGTTCTATTTTCGAAAGTTTTTATTCTATTGTTAATCGTCGAAAATACGAATTTGAGAGGATAGCCATTATTGAAAAGAGTGTGAATTAAATCCGAAATGTTCTTTTCATGAACTTTGGGATGGGACAACATTAAAATTCTATCAAGCTGCCCAATGATTACTCCTTTTTTGTGCTAATGGGTGATTCGAAAGGGAGATATTTAAATTATTTTTCGAAAACTCCCTGAATTGGTAGGTTTTTTATACATATCAAAGATGATGCTTCCTTTTTGAATCATTATTTTAACGTCCAAAAAATTAATACCGTTTTCAT